AATAAATGAATAGTAAAACATTGAATAGTAAATAAGCAGGGTAAAAAAATTAGATAAAAAGTAATAAAATGATGAGTAAGAAAAACTTATCATGCGGTATTTTCTAGATCGTCGTCCATCTGTCATGACATTAATGAAGATAAATTAAAATAAATAAGTTACTAAAAAAATCAATAAGAGATATTTAGAGAGAGTTAATCAAATGATAAACTTACACAACCAAAAATAATAACATCATCCATCGATTGATGATTGTGCAGTTGAAACGGTGGTGACTACCCAGTAAATTTCAACTTATTTACTATGAAATTAACATCAATTACAATGAATTTTCATACAATTAACATGCATTTAATCAAACATAATACATACACAAAATGACAACCTAAATTAGCCTACAAATTTCACAAAAATGAACTTAATAATAATCAACTCAACATCCATAACTTAATAATAACCAATTCATAATAAAAAAAACCTATTTCATCATAACTATAAGCCTATGTTAACCCTATGTTAACACTCATTTCAATCAAAATAACCCTAACATTCAATCGCAAACCTAACTTTCAATTCGAAAACCCTATGTTAAANTTCCTTTTTGTTTCAATTTGCTTGTTTCTTTCTGTTTTTTTCCTTATTTTTCTTTTTTCTTGTTTTGGTCTGCTTTTTTTTTTTTGTTTCGTTCTTTTCTTTTTTTCTTGTTTTAGCATGCTTGGTTTTTTTTACTTGTTTTGTTTTTAATTTTTTTTTCTTATTTCAATTTTACTTTATTCTTTTTTTTCTTGTTTCATAAATATATTTATGTATTCAAACAAATTATATTATTTCATTATTTTTTTTCTGACAATGAATTCTTTTATTAAATGGGTGTACAAAGAATAAATGAGCTTAAATTTTAATGGGGTATATATAACACTAGTAATTACACGTACCTGAAGGCACGACATAACGAAAAATTAGATTACCGAAAGACTCTTTGCAACCTAAAATAACCTGTTTATAAAACTTACAATTTGACATAACAATCATCATAATTCACCATACCACCACAATAATTAATACATACCCAATCATCAACACATATCAAACCACCAAAACATCAAGCTAGTTCTTACTAATTTCGGCAAAATTTCGGCAAAATTTCATTTAAAAATAGAAGCCCAGAAAAATCTAAACTTGTCTACAAAACTTACAATCATTATAATNATATTACATATACCCCTTTTAATAAGTAAACACACTTTATATTTTTTCATAATTAGGGTTTTATTCTTTGTCTCATCTCATACACTCACAAAAACACTTTTTTAGTATGAATTTTTTCAGTAAGATACATGTTAGTATTACTTCTCAATTTAATTTTATATTTGATTTTATGTTTGTTATATAAATTTTTATTATTTATGGTTGGTTTTGATATCTCTGTTAAGTTTAATATTTTTTTATTTAGAATTTATGTGTGTATATATATGTATACTTTTAGATTTTTTGCTCTTTTTTATCTTATTAAGGTTTTGCATCTATGCTTGTTATTTTTTTTTCTTATTCGATTTTGTGTACGTGCTTTATGCTTATTTTTCTTTCATATTCGGTTATGCGTCTTACAATTTTGTTTGTTCTTTTAATCTGTACTTGATTTTTTTTTCCCTTTTTGTTTCAATTTGCTTGTTTCTTTCTGTTTTTTTCCTTATTTTTCTTTTTTCTTGTTTTGGTCTGCTTTTTTTTTTGTTTCGTTCTTTTCTTTTTTTCTTGTTTTAGCATGCTTGGTTTTTTTACTTGTTTTGTTTTTAATTTTTTTTTCTTATTTCAATTTTACTTTATTCTTTTTTTTCTTGTTTCATAAATATATTTATGTATTCAAACAAATTATATTATTTCATTATTTTTTTTCTGACAATGAATTCTTTTATTAAATGGGTGTACAAAGAATAAATGAGCTTAAATTTTAATGGGGTATATATAACACTAGTAATTACACGTACCTGAAGGCACGACATAACGAAAAATTAGATTACCGAAAGACTCTTTGCAACCTAAAATAACCTGTTTATAAAACTTACAATTTGACATAACAATCATCATAATTCACCATACCACCACAATAATTAATACATACCCAATCATCAACACATATCAAACCACCAAAACATCAAGCTAGTTCTTACTAATTTCGGCAAAATTTCGGCAAAATTTCATTTAAAAATAGAAGCCCAGAAAAATCTAAACTTGTCTACAAAACTTACAATCATTATAATCCAACCATATCACCACAATCATCAATACATACTCAATTACCAAAACAATCATAATTCCATATCCAAAATCAGCATAACCATGTATAATTGCTTAACTTTACAAAAGACGGAACACAAAAAATATACACATGCACAAATAGAGAACATAACTTAATCTTCTTTATAGCTTACACCAAGTATCCTTCAATGTATACTTGAAAATATTTAAAATATAAAAATTATCAAAATATGTGAGACAAAATAAAACAATTGTAAATTCGAAACATAAGACCCTTTACTTTTTTAGTTGGATTCAACATAATTATTGTCATCAATTTCATTACCCTGAATTATCTAAAAAATAAATGAATAGTAAAACATTGAATAGTAAATAAGCAGGGTAAAAAAATTAGATAAAAAGTAATAAAATGATGAGTAAGAAAAACTTATCATGCGGTATTTTCTAGATCGTCGTCCATCTGTCATGACATTAATGAAGATAAATTAAAATAAATAAGTTACTAAAAAAATCAATAAGAGATATTTAGAGAGAGTTAATCAAATGATAAACTTACACAACCAAAAATAATAACATCATCCATCGATTGATGATTGTGCAGTTGAAACGGTGGTGACTACCCAGTAAATTTCAACTTATTTACTATGAAATTAACATCAATTACAATGAATTTTCATACAATTAACATGCATTTAATCAAACATAATACATACACAAAATGACAACCTAAATTAGCCTACAAATTTCACAAAAATGAACTTAATAATAATCAACTCAACATCCATAACTTAATAATAACCAATTCATAATAAAAAAAACCTATTTCATCATAACTATAAGCCTATGTTAACCCTATGTTAACACTCATTTCAATCAAAATAACCCTAACATTCAATCGCAAACCTAACTTTCAATTCGAAAACCCTATGTTAAAAAATTAACATCCAATTTGATACAATTAACAACTATAGCATTCAATAAAAATACAATTATCAAAACCCTATGAAAAATCCCAATTTAAAAATCAAACTATACAACCTTAATATAACCATTCTACCCTTGATCAATTCAAGCCTAATGAAAACAGTAGAAAAAACAAATGCATACCACACAAATGTATGGCTACCACATGGAGTATCCCAAGTTGATTTTCATCAAAAAGAGTATGTGCATACTGTTCGGTTAAAAATAAACTAAAAATCTGAAGTCGTGTATCAAATATTACCAATTGATAACAACAAAAAATGGGGTTAAGTGGGTAGTTTCTGGATCATCAAATGCAACGTTACAGCTAGGCCACTAAATCCCCACATCACCTGATAAATAACGGATTGGGTTAAATTTCAAACATATGATAGAATGAAGAAAAAAAATTCCAACCCTAAATGCAAAACCTATTGGACTGCAAAACCCAATTAAATCCATCAATCCAAACAGGCCAAAACAGACCAAATCCTAGACGAACAACTTCGGCTTTTCATCACAAACCACTTCAGTTGTATTCCTCACAAACCAACAGCAACCATGGCCACAGCCACTGCCACCGCCACCAATCTCTCATCTCTTTCACCATCCCTTGACAAACCCTATCCTCTCTTCAAAACCCCATCTCTCAAACCCTTTTCTGTCTTCCCCATAACCCTATCCAAAAACATCCTCTATTTTGCACACCCATAAGAACCCCTTCAAGACCTCTTTCAAAAACCCCATATTTGAAATTATTTCCACCTACAAAATATACCTAGATGGAAAGAGGGCAGGAGTTAAAGGAGGAGGGAGACATTTGAAAAAAAAAAGAAGAAGAAGGAGGGACGAAGGAAGGCCAAAGAGGACGACGATATATATGCAGCTAATATTCCACAAACCCATATCATTGTGAAATGGTGTGTGTGCTGCTGTGTGAAAGAGAGGTGAGAGTCGTGAGACAAAGAGAACGATTGGAGAGAGAGAAAGAGAGAGGGGGAGAGGGAGGCACCTGAGCTGAGCCATCGTCGTCATATGTTGGTTGATTGCCGTTGTGTTGAGCTATGGAAGAGGAGTGAGAGGTAAGCAGTCTAAGCATTGTAAGGAGTGTAAGGGTCTGGCCTGTCTAGGTAGCCATGTAAGGGGTCTAGGTAGAGTATAGGTGTGGGTAGCGTGTAGGTGATTGCTACTGTGTTGAGCCATGAGCCATGGCAAATGAGTGAAAGTTGACTGGTGAGCAGTCTTTTGGAAGAGAGAGAGAGTTGCCGTGTAAGGGGTTTGGGTAGAGTGCAGGGGTGGGTAGTGTGTAGGGGATGAGTTGCATTTGGGTGGGATTTTTTTTTTACGTGGGATGAAATGTGGGCCATTGAATCCAATTAGAAGAATTAGATAAAATTTAGATCATTGAGTTAAAATTATAATGAATCCAAGTCGTTTTTGTGTTTTTTCAAATAGATTTAAATTAAATTAAATTTTGAAGTGGAAAGAGATTTAAATTGAGTTCTATTTTATTAGTATAAATTAGATGAATTTAATTACTAATAAAATGAGTAAATAAGGTGAGCATAGAAAGATTGAATTTAGAAAGAATGAATTTAATAATTTGATAAGAAAAATTAAATAAAATATAAATGAAGATTTGTAAGACAAGAGTAGTCCATCCTTTCATTGAAAATGGTCGTCTGGGCTTCTGTTATACGGTTTAGCTGGGCCACTTCTACCATACGTTTTGTCTGGTAAAAGAAGAACGGAAGATTGAGAGCTGAGTGTGAATTCTGATGATGGCAAACCCTAGGAGGAATTCATATTCTTCTCCAATCAACCACCAGATTTCAATCTCTCTTGAGAACAACAACAATACATTCCAGGCTCAAACCCTAACGACAGCGACACTCTCCTCCTTCAAGAAGTTCCTGAAGAAACCACATGCCTTCCCATTCCTTCTCTCAATCTTCCTCTTCCTCACTTGGGTCTTTCTCAGGCTCCAACGCTCTTCACAATTTTCGCAGCAGCATCAGCAGAAATGGAAGGGCAGTGAATCTCTCGATGAAGATCGCAAAGCCAACCTCCTCAGATTTCCCGCTTCTGCCTTCCCTTCATCCATTACTAAAGACAAGCGTGGTTGGTTGCTCGACCCTCTTTCCATTGCCTTCCATTCCGGCATTACAGGTCTCTCTCTCTCTCTCTCTCTCACACACACACACACACACACACTCCCTCACAGACTCTCACACCTTTATTTAAACTATGACCAACTGCAGCGGCCCGGGTTGCAATTTGGAATCTATGTTATAATACTAACTCTTCTTTTGATGATTTTGGTAATTTGTTAAGGTAGAATTGAACACGGCCCTGAGAGAATCGTTTATTGTGTTTTACATACTCGTTCTGAAAACTAAAATCTTACTCCCAGACACATGATTAAGAAATAATTGTAGGATTCGATCCTCTCAATTTTTGGCGATTTTGATTAATTTCACTTATTATTGGGCACCCACAAGTGAGCTGGTATGATTATTACCCTTCAGAGAGTAGAAACCTGTACAGTATGCTGGATTTAACTAAAATTAATAAATTCTACCAGATACAAATTCAAAATAGTAAATCTTCAGCAATATGCACTGACTTTCCTAATTTTAGATATCTTTTGGTAATTAATTTTTCTTAAATTTGCCTCAAAAAGGAAAAAAAGAATTATTTATGAAAAGCATTACTGAAGAGGGTCAGGATAGTACCTGTGATAGCTTGACACTTGTCCAAAGATCATGTGCATAAGGTCTGCCTTGGGAAAATGAACTGATGTGACAAACTAGAGGTACTAGAGTACCTCTTGCCTCGATGGGACAAACCTTCAAGTATCGGACAAGAAGTGTGATAGCATAGGTACAGCCAAACAGACTTATGGCAGTTTGCAAAGGCTTTGGGTCTTGTTGAGCAACTTTGGTGAGNTGCCTCTTGCCTCGATGGGACAAACCTTCAAGTATCGGACAAGAAGTGTGATAGCATAGGTACAGCCGAACAGACTTATGGCAGTTTGCAAAGGCTTTGGGTCTTGTTGAGCAACTTTGGTGAGGCATGCCAACTTGATTTGTAATTTGGTGCGCTAGACTGGGTACCGATAGTGACAGATAACGCTTAGCAGTAAAAATCGCTTACAAAGTTGAGGATCCTCAGAGTATTGGGATTAGCTAACCAGTATAGCAAGAGATTCTCCCTAAAGAAATAATTTGAGTTGGATTAAGAGAAATCATTAGGAAAGCATAAGCCATATCTTATCCAAACTCTCTCAAGTAGATATCCAACCAAAGTGGTTAGGAATGAGATGAGGTGGTAAAATGTGAGGTGAGACTAAAGCATTTAGTTAATCAATTTGATCCTCATTGATTCAATACTACTCGAGTTGTTGAGGATGACCTGTGAATTCCAAGTTCAATTTGCAAGGCTTTCGATTAGGTTTGGTCTAGATCTACTGAATATCCGGGGTTATTTGCAAAACTTCTGAATTCATCTTGTTTTGTATTATTCATATGCCCCTCAAACTAATGGAGGAGGAAGCCATCAATTTGAAAGTGGGGAAGTGTTCTAGGATTTTCCCTTCACGATTATACATGTGGAACTACAATTGCAGGGCCTAGAGGAGGGGTCAATAGGTTTATGACACTTCCCAATTGAACAAATACCAATTTTAAAACCTGTTAACCACAATTACTAAATTAATTAATTAATTTGTCAATTAAGCTTTTTGAACCTTTTTTCCGTTATAAGAAACCCATGATGGATAAATGGATGCAAGGTGTATCAATTAGCAATCCCAACAACAATCAAAAGTTCAAACCTCCAACCTTATCCCTCCAAAAAACCCAACCACCATAACAACCAAATTGTTGAGATGTGAGATATGTTTATCAAAGAATAAATTCATCAAATACATTGTGAGTGTGTGCTATTGTTTATATGTGTATGCTAACATAAAGCAATAAATCATCAAAACACAACACAAGCAATTTATCGTTGAAATCCTCTCAGGAAAAATCACGGAACCAATCCTGTTTCACCTAACTTGTCCACTATTTTCAAAATCAATTACAAGGATATAAGTCTTATACATCAACCAATACACTCCAGGTTAGAGGCTTTCTTCCTTTAATCTATCTTCTGGATACACCCATTGAAGTCTTGAGAATCAGATGTACCTGGATGCGATCGCTGCAATGATCCATCTAGGTCTCGAGCAATGGTCAAGGATGCTTCCTAAGATTTTCGGTATGCACAATGACACAACCAATGTAAGTTTGGTGATTCTAGGTCTTCTTCTTCAAGGTGTGAAGTTGAATTGAAGGATCAAGTATGATTGACCTTTAAATCTTAGGGATCTAGAGTTTTCTCTTGGCTCTCTAAAGATGTAAGAGGTAGATTCTAAGCTTTGTGAGAGATCCCTTAGGTTAGAGAGGCTTGCTTTATTTATAGACTTGAAATTAGAGTAGTCTTGAAGCCTAAGAAAATTAAAATTTGCGAGGGACTGGTCGAGCTGTTAGAGAGCAATCAAATGGAGGACATTACTAGAAAGAAAAAACGAATTACACTGCTCAAGCCACCTGCAGAGCGGCCAAGCAAGCGATCTCCATTACCAACTTCTTTAGCCTTTTTAAAAATTTTTCTAAGTGTTTAGAGACTGCTTTGGCCGAGAGCACTTGAGCAGAGGGTGGTCCCTATTGGTTTTTAAACAAAAAAAGTAAGCAAAAATTTGACCCATTCTATGTTTTCAAAACAAATTTAGATATTTCAAAAGTAGTGTCATGAAAAGCCCATGAGTCGTTCATGAATTAATCTAAATCCATTTTAAACAAAACCTAATGAGCCAAAGTATAAAACTAAGGATCTTAAGGTATTTAGGTCATTACCTTTCCTAAGCTTTGCAATTCCAAGGAAGATCTTCACGATATGACCTTAAAGATTGAGCTCCTTCCTTTGTGTAATTTTCAGATCTTGAACTTGAATCATCATGATCATGGACTTGGGTTGAGATTTCTAATGTGACTTCACAGAATTAACCAATTACAAATGAACAATTTTTTAACAATCTTTCCCTTTGGCAACTCCAAGACAAAAATACAAGAGTAAAAAATTCAAGATTATAACTCAAAAACCACGAAGAACAAACCAAATTGTAAACTAATCTCAACACTCAAGTACAATTCACTCAATCTTACATTAAAATATTAGATACAAAACTATCTTCTTGATGTTGTTTTGACGATCATAATCTTGCATACAACAGGTCAACCAATATCTCATGAAAAGCATCATATATATCAAAGATATAACATAATCACAAGCACGAAATGCACCAAGAGAAGCAATAGGGTATTGTATATAAGCAACATACTTGAGAACTTATAGATTCAACAATAATAAATCACAATAAATTTTCCCCCTCAGTTGGTGTTTACACAAGCAAATAACAAGTGTAAAATAATAAATCCATTTTTGTACCATAAAAAAAAATGTATAAAATAACAAATGAAAATCAAACAAATGAAAAATAAGTGACTGTATGCCAAGTTTGTGAATATACTCCTCCCGAATTATTTCACCAAACTCCAATTTTTTATATTCTCATTCAACTATTCCCTAGTTAGTCATACGAATTTCTCCCAAAATTTACTCAAAGTTCTTCCCATTTTTGTCATGAAGTGCCAAACACAACCTTATACCAAATAAAGTAGTGAAAAGTGAATAAGAGAACATAATGAAGCTTCTAGCAGAACAAGGATAAGCATTAGAGAATAATCAAAAGTAGGGCAAACATGACATATAATATCAAAGTCTAAAAAGATTAAGATTACGTCACAAAACAAATAAAAATAGAGTATATAAACACATGACAATATATGAATAGAAAATGCTTGATCTCTCCCATAAAGTCCTATGTTTAAATCTCTAAAATAAAAAATCTCCTAAACCTGCATCATCTTCACCATCGCCTCATGGCGTACTTTTAGCCATTATTTCTAGCCTTTATATTTTTTAAACTTTCTTGCAAAATAGGGCTCCTTATGTCTCAAGTAAGGTGACTTGGAAACTAAGAAGCATAGATACGGATATGTGATAAGGGTAGGATATGATGATATAACTAAACTTAAAAAAATAGGATACGTGTATGACTAGGATACGTTTATAATAAATATATTTTATATTTTACTATTATTTAACGACTAAAAAATTATAATTTTCAATAATTCTTTAACAGTAGTAAGCAAAATGAAGAATTTTTACGTTGAAATAAATGTAATATCGTCTTATTATAATATATCCATAAAAAGAGTTTGACCAGTTAAAAAAATCAATTCCATATTTAATTAGTTGATTTGTTTACAAGTATTTGTTTTTAAGATTATAGTGTAACTAACTCATTTTTTATGCTCTTTTGACATGTACTAGTAGATAATACTTAAAAAACACCCGTGTTTTTAAAATTAGATAGAATTTTATTGATATTTTGTATTGTATGTGAACTCAAAAGGAGAGAGTATGGACTAAAATTAAAATTGTACATCTTGCTTCATGTTTTGAAGTATCCATGAAGTATCTACATATTTTATTAATTATCAATACATATGATGTGTATCTAATATGTATCCTTGAATATCTTATCCTATACGGGTATGTTGACCTTGACGAAGTATCCATGCTTTATAGCTTGAAAATATTTTTCTTTCTCATAAGAAGAGGTGATAGTTAAAAAGTATACGGACACGGGTGCCGTATTTGATACGATATAGACATTGGAATACGGTAAAATTCCAAAATATAGGATACGACTAATTAAAATAATTATATATATTTTTATATATAACAACAACATTAATAATAACGAACAACTAAGACATAACAAACATTACTTAAATTGAAATAGATCAAATATTCAAAAAGATACATTCATAGTCCACAAGTTTGCTAACAAAAGAATACAAAAACAAAAGGAATTCTACATCCTCCCTCAATTCACTTCACAGGGTTCAACATTCTCATTACCAATTCCTTCCATCCCCATTTCCTTCTCCATTGGCACCGACAAGAGAATTCATTTTTCGAAATCCTAAATAACAGGCAACAAAACAACAATTTTCAGAAGGCAGTAACACAGATGACCAAAAAAAAATAACATAGCAGCATAACAAAAAGAGAAGACAAAAGATAGTTATGAAGGCAATTTTCGATATTCAAAACCAATAGGCAGTAGCAGATTAGCACAAAATGCTACAGAACGGATGATAAAAAAAAAACCATAATAACACAACAAAAAAGAGAGAATAGAAACGCTAGAATAGGTATGCAATTTTGGGTATGCAATTTTGGGTATTCAAAACTAGCAGCACAGAAGACAACAACATAGCAG